GATTGTACGACGAGGCGTTGGAGGAGGAGGAGGCCGCTGGACCGAGTGGTTCTCAGGACCCTCTAAAGGCGGCAGTGGTCAAGATGAGCCAGATCCGGACGTTCTCCACAGAGACAAGAAAGGAATGGTCGCGGCTTCGAGGGGAATGAGAGGATCGATACCGGCGCCTGCGCGCGGCTCTGGCGCCAAGCCCCGGGCCCCCTGAGCCAACTTCGACATCCGCTGCAACTGGTCCTCCGGCACGAGCGGCTGCAACGACTGCTGATCCAAGCCGGGCAGAGGAGGGGCTGAAGAGACCAGTCTTTCCTTGGCTTCAAAGCCGACGGCTCCAGGCTCCCGAGCTCCGGGCGTCCGGATCCAAGTTCGGGGAACCGCTGCAGAACCGCTCCAAGGCTTCGCTGCAACTCCTCGAGCACAGACTCGACTCGGTCCATCCTTTCTGGAAGATGCGACCCTGTCACGCTTGGAGCCGGCTCCTTCTGAGCAGAGACAAAGGCAAAGTGCTCGCTCGCGACTGCTAGCAAAGAGCTGCCCAGGGCAGGCAGGGACGGGCTCAGCAGCTGAAGACCCACCCTGAACCGGCCACCACAAACACCATCTACGCACTTCCATCTTCGAGCTGGTGTTCCACAGCACCGTGCAGCTCCGCGCTCAGCAGGCCGACCCATACCGTGACCTTCCATACCGGGCGCGGCTCAGCACGATCCTCGTCCGACGCGGCCGTCGGGACAGAGGCTTAAGGCAGGTAGGGAGGTGGCCCCCCCGGCTCCGGGTCACGGCTCGATTCCACACCGAGTGAGGCACAGCTACGAGAACCGAACCCTGGATCTCAGCTATGCCCACTATCTGCGAAGTAACCTCTTGCGCGTAGATGACCCCGAGGGGCTCCGACCTCGGCAAGTAGGTGACTGTGCAAACCAGCGCCCCAGGAGCCTCCTCCTCAGAGGAGGGGGCCTCTCCTTCACTTTCGTCCGCCATGTGCACTCAGCTCAAGGCAAGACACAGAAGCAGCTTCCAAACAAACCCGGACCTCAGCCTGCGAAGGAAGTCCGACGAACACGGTGTCAGGTAGGGGGTTGGCTCCCCGAAAGCAGAGCTCCTTGACTCGGCTGAACAAGGGAGTCACGAGAGGAGGATTGTAGGTTCTCCCTGCACCGTCCTTGCAAATGACGTAATACTTTGGGCTCAGGCTGAGCTCCTCACGGCCGGACGGGCCCCGAAAATCACCAGCGAGGCCTCGCTTGATGAATGCACCGATGCGCCCGGCAAGAGCCAGCCGAAAAGCAGGTGTGGGAGGCCCCGGGGCGTCAGGCCCTGAGCCGTCCGAGTAATCACTGGCCCTTGGGATCTTGAGGAGGCTCTCCGAGGGGGAGTCGAAGAGTGCGGCGGATCGACTACCACGTAGGGCACACTATCCCGCTCGCTTTCCAACGCAGCCACTCGGAGCTAGCAACGATCGCAAACCCCGGATTTCCAGGAGCAGAGGCCGGCTGGCCTGGTGCGCGGATCGCACAAGAAGCAACCCGCAAGCCAAGCCCAGGCCAAAAGAAGTTGAATGGATACCCTCGACGGTCGAGGGAAGACCAAAGTCCAAGGAGGAGGGTGGATAGAAGGTCACGGAAGGTTCAGGAGGGACGAGGATCCCCGAATCCGACCCCAGAAACCTCTGAAGGACCTGAAGCCCTAAATCAACCGCACCACCACTCAGACCACCGGCAGCAGCTACCGGCAAGGGCCGCATTCGAACCCAGAAACTGGCAACGAGTTCGCAAAACTTCCATTGTCATAACTACTGCAGCAAGGGCTCGGAGATGTATCAGGGCCTGTCCTGGTCTGGAGCCGCTGAGGATGCTCTGCTGTTGGAAGCTATGATTGCGCAACAACAACGAGCTCCTTGAACGTGAGGATGGAGCGGACGCGCTCTGAGAGTGCCGTGTCTGCCTTGTGCGTGAACACCGCGAAAGACATGTGATGCTGCTGATCGGAAAAGTCGCGAACCAATGCAAACGCAATGCATGCTTTCACACTGGTCCTTATGCTGGCAAAGCGTAGGATGGAACCTTGTCTTCAAGATGTGGCATGGGTGCTGCCTCAGCAGCGTACTGGAAGGAAGTCATGAGATTGCAACCAACTCAGGTCGTGTCCACGTACCACAAACCAGTAAGCAGCTGGCAGTCGCTTGCAGTTAAGGCCCAAGCTCTTGGATAGTCTGACTCGGCGAAGTCTGCAAATTCCACCGCGGCGCCTTCGTGTAAAGAACATGATGCACTGAAAAGCTGCCCTGAAGCCAATTCGACCAAGCTTCTCCTATCTGTTCAATCTCGAACTGCAGAACGACGGGGTTGTCGTCCGCAGATGGGTCATCCTCGCAGACCTTCAAAAACCATGAACAGCACCAAAGAAGATCGACTTGGGGATCAGGGTCAAAACTGAAAAGAGGCAGCAGCGGCAGCAGCAGCAGCAGCAGCAGCAGCCGCGGCAGCAGCAGCAGCAGCAGCCGCGGCAGCAGCAGCCGCGGCAGCAGCAGCAGCAGCCGCAGCAGCAGCCGCGGCAGCAGCAGCAGCCGCAGCAGCAGCAGCAGCGGCGGCGGCAGCAGCAGCAGCAGAAGCAGCAGCAGCAGCAGCATTAGCATTCTTAGGCTCATTCAACAGCCATTCTCGAAAGACCGACTGGGGAGGGGCCGGCGATATACCAAACATATAACCACCACCGACGTAAATTAGAAATTCAAGTTTCGTCTTCAGATACTACCACACGATTGTATCGTATGGTACACATACTCATCAACGTAAAGTGCATAAACGTATAAGTCTGTACTGTACTGTAAGTAACTACTACATTTTTACTCCAAGATATGGCTGACATATAGCTATACAATCATATAGCCGCATACAGTATGTATTGTACCGGCTGCGTAATTCGGAGCTCTAAGCTTTTACGAGTCAGTTTCCGAGCACAACTTCAGAAAGTTGGGCTCACAGACTGGGTCCAGGCAGTTCGCGGTCTTAGAGCTTGAAATTTAGGATTTCGGGTTCAAGTTCTTGGTTCCCCGACAGGATTTGGATTTGTCTGCGCTAAACTCGTTTCTCGTGTACGGCGGTACACGCCTCTTCACGCCCGTGCACGGTCCGTTTACGCCCGTAAACTGCCCAGTTGCGCCATGTTGCGCCCGTAAACCGGTGCAAACGCCTGTTATCGGGCGCTATCGGGCGCTTACAGCGACAAACGTTTCGGCACAAACGCACAGGGTATTGTGAAAACCTCGTAGGGCAAATATGGTTGATATAGACTCTGACTCGATGATAGCAGCTCCAGTAGCGATGTAGACTACAATTTAAGCATGTGCGCAGCAAATAGCAGCTGCTCAGCAACATTAACATGGACCCAACATCCATGAACATTCCATGGGTCTGCTACTGTAGGGATTCGTGCTTCAAAGTTCATAGGCTCTTATGAGTTCGACACGAAACATTTGGAAAACATTTCACGACGCAAGCCTGTAAGGCATTTGGTTTAAAGTGCCCAGACGATCATTCGAGGCACTTGAGGTCTAAGAAAAGAATCAAATCTGTTGCACATCATGATACAAACACTGCTCTCTCAGCACTGGAGCGTCCAACACCCGGTCTGGCTGCAGCAGTCGCTGCTTGGAGGATTTTGCAGTTTGGGGTTTAAGGCCCTGGGGCGTAAGGACGGAGAGCTGTGAAGTACATAGAGGTCAGAGGCATCAGGGTATGCCTCAGGGCAACGACGAACGACGACGACGACGACGACGCACGAGACGAGCTTCGCATGAACCTGATGAAAGCAGGAATGGTACTGCACGAAGGGCTCGGGGCTTAGGGTAGAGGATTGAGGGGTTTGGAGCATAATAGGATCAGGGATGGTCGGGGTATTTGTAAAGCGTCAACACGGAAGTTAATTCGCCCCACGCCCCACCCTCTACCTCACAGGTGAAGTCCCGACACAGCGTTTCCCTGAATTAAGCTAACACCCGAGATTTAAGCATGTCCGAAGCCTGAAACTTGCAAAATCTGCAGAGTTACTGCACGGATACATACATAAGCACATGTATATACAGAGAGAAAGAGAGAGACAGAGAAAGAGAGAGACAGAAGGACGAGAAAGAGCCCCGGCGGTGCATAACGGTGGCCATGGCTATGGATGCTGTGGCTTTGAAGGTTCAGGTAACCGATGTAACATTCCAACCCCGAAAACCCTGGAGGATTCATTCGTCGAAGCTGCGAACTCGCAGCGCTTCTCAAATAGAGGGCACATGTCTGCGCCCGCAATTAAGCCTACATCTATCTACCTATCTATGACCCGATCTAGCTGACAAACAAGTCACCAAATATGTATATAATACGAGTTTGTACTACATGTGTGCGTGCATGTATGCGCTATTGCGTTTTGAGCTTCGCGGGAGCTTCAAACTCCATAACACTTGCATCGGGGGCTTCGGAGGTCCTGAAAAATCTGAGGAGTGCTGTGAGGCCGCCTTGAAGTTTAGGCATGCAAGTCCATGAACTGAAAGTCGGCAGCCTCTGACCCATGGCATTTTGGACGGCATGCCCCCACTCCCATGCAGCAGCAATCGCGGTCACTTCAGATGATCAACAAGCACACCCATGTTGTCTAGGCTACATCTGAATCTTAAACCTGCGTTTCAAGACATTTCAGCAGCTATATTCATGGTGGCCGATAAGGAAAAGCAACTGGTGAGCTATCCTAGGCCCTAGGCTAGGGGTCATGTTTTTGTTCGAGCCAGCCAAGCTTTTGGTCTGCCCACTGTGAGCACAACTTGCTCCAATCCAGCAAACGCAGCCGTTAGACTGAATGCTGACCATTCTTTGCCGTTCCAGGTGTTCTCAAACTAAAAACCGAACCAATAATTGGACCAAAAATGCTGCGTGGCCACATGAACGACTTCACCGTCGCATACGGGGATCATGTATTTCCTATAAATGTACACCATCAGGCAAACCAATACTCGCCCGCCCCTAACCACCAAAGCCTGCGAATCTTTCTTTGTGGGGCAAACCCCATATCCCACAGTGTTTTCCACTCTGCATAGCTTCGCACAAGCTCGTGAACCTGCTTGTCTCCGAGTCAGCAACTATCCTCTGTCTTTTGCGCCTTAAAGCCGGTTTGGCTTCTAGCTCTTCCCCTTGGAACTCTTGAGATTGGGAACACCAGGCATTTCCAGCACCTGAGCTTTCGCTGTTCTCCGCCTCGGTCAACAACAGATCACCTAAGACTTACTGGATCTTACTCCCAGCCATGCCTATGCCATGAATTCTGTGCTGCATGTCAATCCCCGGGTGCCGGGCGGCGAGGTTTCCTGCAAAGAGAAGTTGGCAACTTTACACTCTCTGCTCGCGCGCTCACGGCAGGGCAGCGCAGTGTACAGCCGAGGCAAAAACACACAAATGAACAGTGGAAAATCAACACTTGCAGCCGACCATCGAATGTTGTGACGTCATCTGGGTTTGACATGGTGAAGCACGCATGTGGTCGACGTTGCACGGTGCCTGCGGCTGCGGTTTTGTGGGATCCCCAAAGACAAGTCTGCACTTTTCCAGTCCGCACAGGCTCAGTTGCTGCAAGGATGCGAAATTGAAGCCGAACATATCCTTCCATGCGTCCGTGCTTGCTGAAGCCCCGTTGTTAAGGACGAGATGCACTGGAACATCCAAGAAGCTTCCAGAGGTTTTGTTTCTGCTTCATGAATCTTTCGATCGATGACGGGTGTGCGAACCGAAAATTGCGAAGAACAAAAACTAGCAGAATGAGCCTGCAGCAAACATTCCGGGTTCAAGACGCAAATGCTGCATGCGATGCTCCGCGTACCACTGCTGCGACTTACGCTTCCGGTACATCCAAGGACCGCTCCGGTGTCAGCAACTATGCAGTCCACACCGCGACTTCATCAAAGCATGACTGAAAGAACTCCGGGACGCTTTGAGCTCACCTGGCCCCGCCCATCCCGCTGACTCTTCCTCGTCCTGCCAAGAGGCACGCTACTCGCCAAGGAAGCTGATGCAAGCGGCCTCAGCGACACCTTGCAAGTCTTTTCCAAGCCGCACCTCAGATCGTCTCTCACGCTCTCGACTGTGCCTGCGGCCACATGCCATTATCACGGCCACGGGTAACTGATAAACTCTGCCAGCGCATTGCTACAATAGGTTCTATCAAAAATTGGCATATGGCATCTCGTGTTGAGACAGCACCCACGAGGTCGTTTGGTTTGCGTCTCAACCGCCCCGACAGGATGCTCGTTCGGTTTTGGGGCCGAAGGCAGTGACTCAGTGGCGCACCTCAAGCAAATGTAGACGAAACGTCCGTCGAAACCATATGGGCAAAAGTTACAATTCTGAATGCTTCCCAGGAATGCTTCGTGGCGGGCTCGTTCCTTGTACTTGTACTTCGAGTCGAGCCGGTGCTTCTTGGGAATAAGACTGCCGCATCAGGTCTGTCTTGTGAAGCACTGTAGCATGCTGTACACATCATTTTTCATTGGGGCCCTTCCATTTCATGTTCATACCTCAAAGCCAAGCTGAGGGCAACACGCCACGTGCCGCTTCCATGGCATCTGTCCGAACCACCTGGGTTCTGGCTGGTGCATCTGCCCTGCCTCATAAGTCCGGAAACCCTCTGGACAATCAAAGGCGCGTTGCTGATTAGCGATCACGGAAAAAGACCGTGCAAATTCCACGAAAGGGAAACAAACATCTCCATCCAAATCAGGAAAAGAAATTATCTAATCTTCCTCCCACATGGCCCCAACATGCGACAATTCCTGCACACCGGAGGTGTGTGGCAGCCATCATGGAACGTACATGAGGCAAAGCTTGCGAATTGCGAAGCTGAGCCAGCGGCTTTTGACCGCCTTGCTAGTTCTGCATGGCGCCTGGCATGCCAAGCCAAGTCCTGAAGCTGTCAACTGCCAATGAGCCTTTGACATGTCATGTGGTAGGATGTCCTGCAGGAAGCAGGAGGCAGCTCCCGAAAGCCCGTCCAAAGCTGCAGTCTCGGCGTAAGCAACTCCATCCTGCTGGCCTCTCCGGGCTGGCAGAACCGAGGCCACTGCTGGGGGTACATTTTCGATGAAATCAGAATTAATTCTGCATCAATCTCGGCGCACAGATCCGCAGTATGGCCAACCGAAGAGCAGCAGCCTGAACATGATTTGGCAGGCCCATCTCAACTTTCAAACCGTGACCAGAGCTGGGGGACTTGCTGGAGGCTGTCGCGGCTGCATGTCGGCACGCGATCACCCGAGGTTTCTAGCTACATCCTTAATCTTGTACGGTCAGCCGTTTATTTGACTATATCTTGTGCTACTACCTGAAGCGCCTTCACGTTCACACGCGAAGCCCGGCTGCCAAATGATCATGATGAACACCCTTTTGCTCCATGGTTGGGTGTGCGTGACACTGTCTCGGCTACAAGCCACCAACAACCGGACGCTGAAGTTCTCCACAAAATCAAGCGGCGCAAACCGATTCCAGCTTTGTAGGAAACTGCCCAAATTGGACACGCGAGTCTCAGGAGTCTGCGCTGTCCAGCTTTAGCATCATTCACGCCCTCTCTCGATGTCTCAAGCGCCCAAGGTGTCCTGACGTGCAACGAACATCATCAGACCATGCGGGCTGTCCAACGATGCACGCCGAAAAACATGGACAAAGGGAGGGGAAGAGGAGGGAGTGGGGAGATGGGTGGAGAGGTAGAGGGAGTGGCGTTCTTTGGATTGTATAGTCTAAGGGTTTTCTACAAAGGGTTCCATATGAGGGATCTGTACAGAGGATCTATAGATCTCTATAAGGAGGAAATAAAGACTGTGTATGAGGGCTCCACATAATCAATCTTTCAAACATTTTTTACAAAGGACTCCATTTGTGGGAAACATAAGCGGTTCCTACAAGTTCTTCATCTCGAGGATCTGTAAGGTTTATATATCTACGAAGCTTTTCTATATGGGCTCTATAGACCCCATAAGACAAATTAAAAAGTGATGAAGGTGATAAGAAGATGATAAGAAGATGAGCGGATGGGAGAAAAAGTGATGGGAGGTGAGGAGACATGAGATGGGAAGGGAAGGAATGAGTTAGGAGTGGGGGAGGTAGGAGGCAAGTGAGAGGGACAGGGTGGATCATTTACAAACGCCTTTAGGGGGACGCTCCTTGCGATGTGTGATTTTTGGATCTGAGTTCTTACAAAACCTGAGAGGGGCACACCCCTTGCGATCTGTGGTTTTTGGATCTGAGTTCTTACAGTACCTTAGGGGGACACCCCTTGCGATCTGTGATTTTTGAATTTACTTGTCATGAAAACCTTTAGGGGGACACCCCTTAAGATCTGTGGTTTTGGGATCTGAGTTTTCACAAAACCTTAGGGGGATATTTAAGAAGGAGAGAAGGGAGGGTGGGGGAGGGTGGAGATTCCAGGAGAGAGAAAGGGGAAGAGGAGAGGTAGAGGGCGTGGAGGTGGGGGAGAGTGAGGAAGGTGAGGGGAGGGGGTAGTGGGAGGGATAGGGAGAGGGAGGGAGGGGTATGGGAGGAGGACGAGGGATGAGGAGGAGGAAGATAGTGAAGATGATGAGGTGGATGATAAAGAGGGAGGGGTGGAGTGAGGTGTGTGGTGGGATGGGACGGGGTGGGTGGGCACGGCTGCCTGCTTCCGCACGCCCAGCCTTCCCTGCCCGAGCCGCGACCGAGCAGAAAGCATGTAAATATCGCGCTATAACAAGGGCTAGGGATTTCACACATCTGCTGGCAAAATCTGGCGGAAGTGACCTGTGGTCGAACAAAACACCTGTAAATACCGCATGAAAACAAGGGCTAGGGGTTTCACACATCTGCTGGCAAAATCTGGCGGAAGTGACCTGTGCTCGAACAAAACACCTGTAAATACCGAAAACAAGGGCTAGGGATTTCACACATCTGCTGGCAAAATCTGGCGGAAGTGACCTGTGCTCGAACAAAACACCTGTAAATACCGCATGAAAACAAGGGCTAGGGATTTCACACATCTGCTGGCAAAATCTGGCGGAAGTGACCTGTGGTCCAGCAAAACACCTGTAAATACCGCGCTAAAACAAGGGCTAGGGATTTCACACATCTGCTGGCAAAATCTGGCGGAAGTGACCTGTGGTCCAGCAAAACACCTGTAAATACCGATGAAAACAAGGGCTAGGGATTTCACACATCTGCTGGCAAAATCTGGCGGAAGTGACCTGTGGTCCAGCAAAACACCTGTAAATACCGCGTGAAAACAAGGGCTAGGGATTTCACACATCTGCTGGCAAAATCTGGCGGAAGTGACCTGTGCTCGAACAAAACACCTGTAAATATCGAGCTAGCACAAGGGCTAGGGATTTCACACATCTGCTGGCAAAATCTGGCGGAAGTGACCTGTGGTCCAGCAAAACACCTGTAACTCAGATCCGAAAACCATAGATCGCAAGGGGTGTCACCTTAAGGGTTTTTATAATAAATCTGTTTCAAAAACACAAATCGCAAGGGGTGTCCCCCTAAGGCCTAAGGTTTTGTAAGAACTCCATTACTAGAATCACAGATCGCAATGAGTGTCCCCCTAAAGGTTTCTACAACAAATAGCTTCCAAAATCACAAATCGCAAGGGGTGTCACCGCAAGGCAGGGTGGGAGAAGCCGGGTGGGAGGCATGGGGTTAAGGGCAGGGGGCTGGGGGTGTTGTCCCCTAAAGTTTTGTGAAAACTCAGATCCCCTAAGGTTCTGTGAAAACGCAGATCCCAAAACCACAGATCGCAAGGGGTGTCCCCCTAAAGGATTTTATGACAAATAAATTCCAAAATCACAAATCGCAAGGGGTGTTCCCCCTAAGGTCCTGTAAGAACTCAGGTCCCGAAATCACAAATCGCAATGGGTGTCCCTCGAAGGTTTTGTAAAAACTCAGATCCGAAAACCACAGATCGCAAGGGGTGTCACCCTAAAGGTTTTTATAGCAAATACGTTCCAGAATGACAAATCGCACGGGGTGTCCCCCCTGAGGTTTTGTAAGAGCTCAGGTCCCGAAATCACAAATCGCAAGGGGTGTGCCCCTAAGGTTGTGTGAAAACTCAGATCCGAAAACCACAGATCGCAACGGGTGTCCCCCTGAAGGCTTTTATACCAAATATGTTCCAAAATCACAAATCGCAAGCGGTGTCCCCCAACAGTTTTGTAAAAACTCAGATACGCGAATCACAGATCGCAAGGGGTGTTCCGCGAAAGGTTTTTATAACAACAAAATTCCAAAATCACAAATCGCAAGGGGTATCTCCCCTGAGGTTTTGTAAGAACTCAGGTCCCGAAATCACGCAAGGGGTGTCCCCCTAAGGTTCCGGGAAGGCTTTTATAACAAATATGTTCCAAAATCACAAATCGCAAGGGGTGTCCCCCTTTAGGTTTTGTAAAAACTCAGGTCCAAAAATCACAGATCGCAAGGGGTGTCCCTAAGGTTTTGTGAAAACCCAGATCCGAAAACCACAGATCGCAAGGGGTGTCCCCTCAACAGTACGATGGAGTTTGGGTGGGGTGGAGTGGTGGAGGGTGGGGGGTGGGGGAAAAGGTAATGTGGGCTGGGGTAAGTGAGGTGATAAAGATGATAAGAAAGTGATAAGAAGGTTATACAAAGATTAAAGGACCGGATAACCCCACATGTGAAGATCATCCATTCGTATAGAACACAAAGGTGCAGAAGAGTAAATGAGTGAGGGAGTACATGAGTGTGTGAGTGAACGAATGAGTGAGTGCTGCTGTGAGTGCGTACGTGGGTGTACGGTGTATGATGTGTGCATGTGTGGTGTGCGAGTGTAGAGAGAGAGAGTGTGTGTGTGTGTGTGTGTGTGTGAGTGTGTGTGTGTGTGTGTGGTGTGTGAGTGTGTGAGTGTGTGAGTGTGTGAGTGTGTGAGTGTGTGAGTGTGTGAGTGTGTGAGTGTGTGAGTGTGTGAGTGTGTGTCTGGGTGTCTGAGTGTCTGTGTGTCTGTGTGTCTGTGTGTCTGTGTGTCTGGGTGTCTGGGTGTCTGCGTGTCTGTGTGTCTTTGTGTCTGTGTGTCTGTGTGTCTGTGTGTCTGCGTGTCTGTGTGTCTGTGTGTCTTCGTGTCTGTATGTCTGCGTGTCTGCGTGTCTGCGTGTCTGCGTGTCTGCGAGTCTGCGTGTCTGTGTGTCTGTGTGTGTCTGTCTGTGTCTGTGTGTGTGTCTGTGTGTGTCTGTGTGTGTGTGTGTGTCTCTGTGTGTCTGTGTGTGTCCTGTGTGTGTCTATGTGTGTGTGTGTGTCTCTGTGTGTCTGTGTGTGTCCTGTGTGTGTCTGTGTGTGTCCTGTGTGTGTCTGTGTGTGTCTGTGTGAGTCTGTGTGTGTCTGTGTGTGTGTCTGTGTGTGTCGGTGTGTGTCGGTGTGTGTCGGTGTGTGTCGGTGTGTGTCTGTGTGTGTCGGTGTGTGTCTGCGAGTCTGCGTGTCTGTGTGTCTGTGTGTGTCTGTCTGTGTCTGTGTGTGTCTGTGTGTGTCTGTGTGTGTGTCTCTGTGTGTGTCTCTGTGTGTGTCTGTGTGTGTCCTGTGTGTGTCTGTGTGTGTGTCTGTGTGTGTGTCTGTGTGTGTGTGTGTCTGTCTGTGTGTGTGTTGTCTGTGTGTCTTTGTGTTTGTGTCTTTGTGTCTGTGTGTCTGCGTGTCTGTGTGTCGTGTCGTGTCTGTGTGTCGTGTCTGCGTGTCTGCGTGTCTGCGTGTCTGCGAGTCTGCGTGTCTGTGTGTCTGTGTGTGTCTGTCTGTGTCTGTGTGTGTCTGTGTGTGTCTGTGTGTGTCTGTGTGTGTGTGTGTGTCTCTGTGTGTCTGTGTGTGTCCTGTGTGTGTCTGTGTGTGTGTCTCTGTGTGTCTGTGTGTGTCCTGTGTGTGTGTGTGTGTGTTTCTGTGTGTGTCTGTGCGTGTGTCTGTGCGTGTGTCTGTGTGTGTCTGTGTGTGTCTGTGTGTGTCTGTGTGTGTCGGTGTGTGTCGGTGTGTGTCGGTGTGTCTGTGTGTGTCGGTGTGTGTCTGTGTGTCTGTGTGTGTCTGTGTGACTGTGTGTGTCTGTGTGTGTCTGTGTGTGTCTCTGTGTGTGTGTGTCTCTCTGTGTGTGTGTCTCAGTGTGTGTGTCTGTGTGTGTGTGTGTGTGTGTGTGTGTCTGTCTGTGTGTGTGTGTGTGTGTGTGTGTGTCTGTGTGTGTCTGTGTGTGTCTGTGTGTGTCTGTGTGTGTCTGTTGTGTGTCTGTGTG